TTCTTTCAACACAGGCAACCAGGAGCACATGAGCTGATCCCAGCCTTCAGCGTGGAGAAGGTCTGCTGGTGAGGAAGCCCCCAGGGAAGGCTTTGCAGTGGAAGCTTAAAGGAGCACACAAAGGAGGAGAGACATCAGAGTATGATCTAGCAGCAGCCCCCAAGGCTTCCTGGACACCAGCCCCTGCTCTAAGCTACCGTCGTGACTACTCAGATCTTCTCGGGGGGGGGCAAAGAGCTTCATGTTTCCCAACTCTCCCAGCACTGGAAAAAAAGCACAAACCCAAGAGCCCTGCTACCCTACCCACACTTCTCAGAAAGGGCAAAGAAACCTGTAAAAATGGGTGGAGAATGAATCCAAGCATACTGCAGAGTTGGGCTGAGTTAGAGGCCACCAAAAGGTCTCGCCCAGCACAGAAAGGCTCCCGGTCGACTTCACCTTCTGCAGAACGGGTCCCAGGCGCAGCGGCTGGAAAAATAAACCCAGCCACATTCAGATCCCAATCAGGAGCTCTGGCCATGCTTCCCCATCTGAAGGAGCACTTCCAAGGATGCACAGCCCCGAGTCCTCACCGGAGTTGCTCCCCCAAATCCAAAGGGAGGTGTTCCCCCTTCGCTGAGACGCACGGGTCTACTCACACAGCAGTCTCTGGCCAGGGGGAGCGTGGGTTAGCTGGGTGGGAACCTGCTAATCACAGCCAAGGTCCATGCCTACACCCCCACAGCGCTCCCAGGAACAGCTCAATATGGTCACTGAAAAATAAAAAGCTTGGCTTTGAGTGAGCCTTGTCAGAAGCCAGGCACCAAGCAGACTTCAGAGAGATCATGGCACCGCCACTGTTCAGGTGAAATGCAGAGCCTGTGCTCCAAAGATCGCAGGAGCCAGAAACCCCCGATTTCTCCATGAAGGAATGGCGAAACCTCCGCAGAGAGAAGGGAAACGGCTCGAAGATAGTCCTCAGTTTTGAGCTTTCCTCTCGGTTACAGACGAGCCGGTAGCCAAGGCAACCTCACAGATGTGCGAGCTGGCACGCCAGCACGGCAAGCCCTGCTCCTTCTGCTCGGCAAGACAGCAGCTCCCCAGGGACGGCCACTCTCAAGACGAGGGACACAGGAACTACTCGTTCTGTTGAGAACCCTCAACAGAACTGGTCCCACCACCACGCACCATGTTTAAACCTGCCCAGGGAGACATCGCCAAACCCAAACGTGGCCTCCTTGGCCAAGGGGCAGGCAGGAACCACCACTATCACACCTGGAAGGCAATGCAGATGGGAGCAGCAGGGATCTGTGACCCATCAACCACAAAGGCTGAAGTTCATGGTTCAAAAGAGCGCTGTGAAGGCACACATCAAGTTATTTACAGTCACGGACTGGAAGACAAGGATGCTAACACAATGGCTGCAGCAGCAATAAGACATCAGGGATGGGAGGTCCTGGCCTGAGCTCCATGCAGGGTCCTGGGTCTCTCCCAGACTCGTTTCAGAGCTACCCAGCTTAATGACAAGAAACAAGGAAGAGCAACAAGGGAAATCCCGATTAGAAATAAGGAAAAAAATATAGATTCTTCACCCTGAGGGTGGTCAAACACTGCAGCAAGGGCTCAGTTCTCCATCCTTGGGAATACCACAATTTCGGCTGGACACAGCCCTGAGAAGCTTGACCCAACTGCAAAGTTGACTCCAACTCCAGGTTGGCCCTATTTTGAGCAGGGGCTTGACCAAAGACCCCCATATGTCCCTCCTAACTTAAATTGGTCTCTGTTTTCATGCTTGAAGTTCAGGATGAATGCAGAGTTTGGACATAATCTTGCCTGCTTGTTAAATTGACACAGCAGCTTTCTGATACGGACATAAAACAGTTTCTGTCTTATTTTCTCTATTAATAGAAACTATTTCCTTCCATACAGGGTTTCCATTGCCTGTTATTTCTAACCACCCATGTGGAAAACAAAAAGGAAGGCAAAGAGGGAAAAAAGCCTTAAAATTAATTGTGTAGTCTGAGCGTCATAAAGGAGGGCGTACGGAAAGCGGTGAGTATGAGCTTGATCTCGTGATCACATGAAGTTGCTCCAAGTGATTCGATGGTTTTATTTCCCTTCTGATAAGAACAGGAAAATGTGAATAATTGTATTGGCTGTTTTAAGTTTAGTTCCTAGCAGCAAAAAAGAAATGAGGAGTCTTCTCAGTTCCCAAATCAAAATTTATTTCTATTGCTACTTACAAAAGTTGAAGAAATAAAATAAGCCAAATGGTTCTTCTCAGTGTTTCCAACTTGCCTTTTTCAAAGCACGATGTGCTTAAGACGAAGCAGAGCAGCTTCCAACGCCGTTACCCTTCTCCGCTTTGATCACCGACAGGGTTCACGCTGACATTTAAAACACTTGGAAGCAGAGTTACTAGCTCTTCTTGATGAATGAAGCATTTCATATTTCCCAGATATAGCGCTTCAGGCTGCCACAGACCCACGCAGGCACTGAGCATCCGTGCGTGCCGGCTCCCTAGCCTGTGTTTGCCTCTATGAACGCAGCTAGGGAATTTCCTGCATTTCATCCCAGACATGCAACAGGTGCTATCATGAAGAAGTACCGGGCACAAGAAACCTTTACAACCTGTCCCAAATCAAGACCAGGCGCTCAAACCTTTTGCCTTTCCTCATCTTACCCTACAATTTCAGGATGAATCCAAGAGCTACTACCTCTCTTTGCCAGAAAAGCCACACTGCCTTAGCACACTTAGCAGCTCACCTTATGAAAAAAGGGCAAAGGAGCCCCATACCACGAATACATACTTGGAAGAAACAAGCACGAAGCAACAAGAGTCTTTCCTCAAGGTAAAACTTCACACTGGACACCAAGAGCTGCTAGAAACGGGAAGAGCCAAGACTTGCGAAAAGCACCGAAGCTGGAGCGATTGCAACACCGGCAGCAGCTCTCCCTGCAGTCGCAAGAAAAGGAAGCAAAATGAAGCACTGGGGAGCTGAAACACGATCTGGAGGAGATAAAAAATGAGATAGAAAGAGCAAACTCGATAGCAAGAGCCTAACTCCTTGAAAGAAATGCAAGACAACTGGTGCTCACTGTGCCAAACCAGGTTAGATTTTATTTGAAAATGTGTGTGCCACAGGCATTGCCCTCCACATACAAACGCAACGCTGCCCTTTGCTACAAGAGGCAATTCAAGCCACCGTGCTGCCAGACCACGGCCACCACCCTCCCCTCACCACCAGCCTCTCCTGAACCGAGGAAATAAGGGGGTTAAAGAGCAGATCGCCACACAAAACCCGTGGTTTGACCCCAAAAAGAAACGAGGGCTTGGTTTTGTCATCTTTAAAGAATAAAGCCACACGTGAGAGGGTCAACCGCCCTTCCA